GGACCACCTTGGACCGAAAAATATATTTGCAAAAAATGTTCGATATTGGTGCAATTTTTGACATAGGTACAAGTTTTCAGACATTTTTAGGAAGAAGATGTAATATGCCATTCCGGATTTTTGAAGTGGCTGTAAATTGGTATTCCTGATAAATAAAAAATCTTCCTTCCAGAAAATTTCCAATATAGGTTTGCAATTAATTATTCATGTTGGCATTTAGGTCCAGCTTACGTTAAAGTTCCTCGTCCAGTTTTCCGACCTGAATGTATGTTATTTAGTACATATATATCTCAGAACATACTCATTCTACTAGCAGAACGATCCGACCGACAACGCACGTTGTAGTGTATAAAATGTTCGGAAAATTGCAAAAATGATCAGATAATTTGTAAATTTATTTTTGATGTCGGTACGTCAACCCACACTGAGTACCTTTATGCCAAAAAGGCATGACATTCTTGTGGAGAACTGTGACAAAATGATCGCACAAAAATATACACGAGTTAATTCTAATTATTTGCCAAATTATGTATTATACGTAGGAAATGTATGTCATTTACGTCACAGTTTCTGACGGACCATCTCTGGGCATGACATTCTTGAGGAATGGTATGCCTTTGATCGAGTTAATTCTAATATTTGGCAAAGTCTTTGTGAACAACACAAATCACTATGAAAGTTATGCAAATGATCACACGAAAATATATACGAATCGATTTCATTTTGTTTGCATATTAAAGGAAAATTATCGCACGAAAATGTGCACAAGTGAATTCTAATTATTTGGCAGTCTCTGTGAACAACACAACACATGCTGGGACGTCAAACCGCACAGAAAATTTCCAACGGAGCCAGGCAAAATTGTTGTTGTTATTCTTGGATTTTTTATTTTTCAAGTCATTGTAAATCAACAACACAACACATGATGTTACCTCAAACATCAGCAATTATTTTTAAGGTTCGATGATCCAAAAGTGTGTTAGTCTTGACCGAATGTATATTTTAAGGCGAATTTAAATAATTTCCATGGTCCACATTTGCTACTGAAGTGGCTTCTACTTATTAAATATATAAATAACATATATTCGTGTAAAACCCTTTATTTAGAGGCCTTATACATTTTTGAATTACGAATCCGGTTTGTGTCCGAGATTTTGTTTCATTGCCAACAATAAACTTAGCATCTTGCTTTAGAAGTAGGGTATATAAACATATGGATTATTTCTAATTTAAAAATATATATTTCTAAATAATAAACATAATATATATATATATATATAATTTTCTCTTTTTTAAATTATGACGTAGATCGGTCATTGCAAAAAAATTGAAAATATTTTGCTGTTCCCACTCACTGCAGTGAATTATTTACCATTGGCAATTTATAACAAAAAAAAAAAAAAAAATGTTACACAGAATAATTGGATAACTTAGCTGGTGACTGGTGGCGGGCCGGGTGTTAAGCCAAAAAACAACAACATAACACCTAAATAATCTCATTTATTTTTGTATGTGTTGTTGTTCTGGTTTTCTGCTCCCACAAAATATCAGCAAATTTCTTTGCGTATTTGACATTGACATTTTCAGCGGGCGTCTGACTATCTATAATTTGGAAGCGCCTAATCGCTGCGGCTTTTCAAGGTCCATACACAAAAAAGAAGAAAATATACGCATAATTTAGTTTTCGGCAAACATTATTGGAAAACAAGAACAAGAAAGAAAAAATTAAAATTTTTCATTTCATGTACTGTTTGATATTACTGCGGATACTTCTAGAGGGGCGTTATGAGTTTGCTATTTTTGGTCCGCTTGTTTTTCTTCATCGAATTTGTCGGTTTCCTACGCGGTAATTAGTTATATTTTGTTGTTGTTGCTTTCGTAGAATATTTTTTTTGAGTTGTGTTGCAATGGTTGTTCGATCAATGAATGAGTGAATTGTAAAGATCAATCAACTGCCGTTGTACGCTTCGTAATTTTTTCTCGATTAAAATTGATTTAAATTGTTTCCGAATCATTTAAGATTCAATGGAAATGATAAATATAATTGCTGCTGTTACATGAAACTGGAAACAAATTATAAAATTCCATAAGAATTACAACAATAGAATAGAAACGATTAATAATTACATTTCAATCGCCCTTAGACATTGAATTAGGTTATAACACACCCTCGTACACCAGACGACAACAAATTATTTTTTTCATATAGAATATTTTATATAGAAGAAAATTTTAAAATTAAATGTGTAAACATGTAAAACATCGTTATATGTTTAATAATTTCTAAAACAATATTTTCTAACCTGGAATCCAATGTGCCAAATTACAACCACTGCGATATGAAAATTAGGTTAAAAATGGGCGGGTTCTTTATGTGGGACCTGTATAAATTTTTTTCAACAAAAATGTGTGTTAAGGGGATCCACACATATTTTTGTAATTGAAGAAAATACCTTCTCGATGGCGGTTATGATTTTCGATCACTGGATCATTCGATTCAAAAAATTTCAACGGCATTCGAAAGAGTACATGTCGGGATCTGGTAACATCGCACAAAAATTAACAAAATAGCGGACCTATGAAATTTAAGTTTTGGTCAAAACCCAATTTGGAAAATAGGGAAGATCTGCACTTGTAAAAATTTAGAACCAATTGGATAAATAGTTTTTGAGTTACCGTGCTTTCCATTCGAAAAAACTCGTTTTTGAGAAAAACGCGTTTAAAGTTTGAGAAACACTCTTGTCGTCGTGGTCGTGGACACATAGTAGATCGACATTTCTCGTTCCTTTTGTAAAAAGGAACTAGTTCCTTTATTCCTTGTAGTTCCGACTTCTTGATAGTTCATTTGATTCTCTCTCTTTCATTGTTCTTTTGTTTTTGTTTTTCGCTCACATAGTTCCATATTAATTCGTTGATGGATGAAACAAGTAAACAAATTGTGCAAAAATGAAAAAAAAATGAAATTTAGTAGAGTATTCGGAAGCAACAGAATTCAACTGCAGGACAATAAACACATTTTTTATATATCTCCTTCATTTATATGCTGTTAACAATGTGACAGTATCTGAACAAACCAGAACGATTAAAGAATATGGAATAAACGGAGGAAATCCGTGAAAGAGATTAGAGATCAGAAAAAAACAAGATCAAAAAGGAATGACATCAAAATCCGATCTCTTCCTCTCTCTCTTTTAGACAAAAACAAATGTATTCCTCCAAAGAAACAGATCACCACCATTCATTTTTCGGATGTGTTTTGTTGTCCTTTGGGGAGAAATGTCACTTGGTGATTGTCTACTGTTTGTCTTGTTTAGAACCGCGGCCTCTCCCCTCACTCTATTCTCGTTTTGCATTCCATTGTTTCTGTATTTCAGACACTGTTACCGACCTCTATATTGGTGTTATAAAATTCGCATATGTATTTTTTAAAATATTTCGATATAAATGAGATATACAATATAACAAATAAATGATGATATGAACAACAAGCTCAACCGAAGGTCGTCAGATATAACCGTACCTTTATATTGCATACGAATATATTTTTCATCATCCAAGAACACTCAATTCAGATTACAGTCACTTTAGTAAGAAATTGCGACTAAAGTTTTCAAATGGCCTAAAAAAGAGTGGTGCCTTCATCAAAATACACTCCTAAAATGTATTTTCCCTTCTTTCGGTGGCCGAAAACGGGCGGAGTCTTTATATGAGGAGTATTTCAAAACAAAGACACATTCTGCAAAGTTGTGTTTGACCCTCCCATAACCCAGAATGCCAACTTATAGCTACTTCGGTTGGAAAATGCGGCTAGAACCTATACCAAAAAGTGGAGCGAATAACACATATTCTTCAAAGCTCTATATTAAATATTGGCATACGGCCATTACCTAATCGACATAGAATATTATTAATAGTATATTATTCTAAGCTAGCCCATCATGATATAGATGGCATACTATGTACCGAATGTCCCATTTTTGGTATCACATTTTCCTTAAGAAAAATATTTTCGCTTATGAACAGATCCGAACAAAAATAATTGTACGTTCTCGGAGCGGATTACAACTTTCATTTACAGATAATAAATACTAACATTATGCGATTCTTTGGAAAATTTAAATTTCTATTTTAGAAAGTATGGACTTCACACTGAGCATATGTTTTCCGAAAAATCTGGATAGGACAGAGTGTTATGAAAGATTATATTTATGTCAAAAACTGCCGGAAACTTTAAAGTTGTAAAAAAATGCCGTTCAAACTGTGCCATCCCGAATGATCGCATTAATATAGCATTAATGCGATCATTCGGGATGGCACAGTTTTAAATAAAGCGAACATCTGAAGAACACATATGCATATAAACTGCATTTAGGTTATCAAAGATAAAAGAAAATATACACACATCAATATTTTATCGAAGTTCTAAGAAAACTGCAAAAGTGAGAAAAATTATGAGATATAAACAACTACATTAGTCAATATTTCGGATTTTCTTTTCTCGAAACCCAAATTTTGTTTGCATCGAAACTAACATATGATTATTTTCTTTGTTATTAGAAACCAAAAAAAAAAAATTGTTTAGGATGGAAGTGTGAAAATTCAAATACCTGATGAAGTGCCACCATTACGGAAGTGTTGAAATTCATAGACCAGAAGACGACGTTGTTGCACAGGAAATTCGCATTATAGCAACAAAACAAGCTGAGTAAATTAACAACAAGTGGGGTAGAGATGTAAAACGGCAACACTGAAAAAGAAAAAAATATATATGTGATATACAAAACGAAAATTGTCAATAAGAAAAATTACATATATAGTTCAAATAATATAAATTCAAAATAAAAAATATTTGTTTTTATTTAAAAATAATAAATAAATTATTACTGAAAAAGAAATAAAAAAAATTGTGAATACTATCAATAGAAAACAACAACGAATTAAAATAATAAAAAATCTAAAATAAATTAAAAATTGATTATATCCAGTTCAAATTTAAATCTAAAATTTCCTGCCATGACGACGTCACCTAAGTGGATTTCGTATTTAGCATTAACGCTATTTGGTAAGTTCACATTTTATATACATATGTTTATATAGATAAGTGGATATTTTTGTTGTGCACGTACACTGACGTTTTTGTGTTTATTGCTAGATATTTTATTTCAAAATAAATATACAAGTTTTTAATTGATTTATGCTAAATACTATAAATATTTAATTAAATAAACATGGGGAAAATATTTTATATGAGAGGAAATGTGTTTTATATTTGCATTTGGAACAGTAAATGTACAGTGGCTCAAAGTAATATAGATAAGTAGAACCGATAATTCTTAACAAATTTGTCATTCAAATATCTCATCCCGTTCAAAAATTTTTAAAAATCTGGGTCCTTTCAAAAATATTTCTTTAATAAATAAAATGTATATATTAAAGAAATATTTTTGAAGGGATAGTACTATATATATTTTCATAATTCCAAAAATATATTTTTATACCCGCCAACATACCATGGTGCGAATATAATGTACGTATAACAATATTCGGTATTTTTACTCGATATCGAATTGTAAAGCCTGTACCTTGTTATTTCAAATGTAACCTCCAAACAGAAAAAAATCCTATATTATAATAATAGTGCCTAAAAAGTGTTGGCCCACATTTCTGGATTTTATGAATGGAATTCATAAAACCATAATTATTGGTTTGTTGTTAGAGAGACAGAGAAAAAAAAAATTTTTTTAATTTTTCCTTAAGGGAACCCCACCCATTCTCGATTTTAATTTTTCAAGATTTTCAATGGGCTGGTAAATCAATACAAATGCTTGTTAAGGTTTGTAACTTTGCACGTATATAATTGAAGATTAAAAAGAGAAGAAAAATAATTTACAAAAAATTTTTGTTATTGCTTTGTTGTTGTTTTTTGTAATTAAAGAAAAGTCCTTATTTTTTATGGCGGGCATGATAACTCCTCACTGGAACATCGGAATCCGAAAATTCCAACGGCGTTAGAAAGAGTACATGTCTGGCTCTCGTATGAACTAGGATTATTGACTTCGCTCTAAAATTAACAAAATGGCGGACCTTTGAAAAAATATTTTTAAAAAATCGCCGATTTTTGACCAAAAACCAAGTTAAAAAATTAGGAAGAGCTTTACCGATTGGCTTTATCCTAGTTCATACGATAGCTATACACTCACAGAGAAACGTGTAAAAATTTGGAATCGATTGGGTTATTAGTTTTTGAGTTATCGTGCCCGCCATTCGCAAAAGAGAAAAACGCGTTTAAAGTTTGAGAAGCCCTTTAGTCGTCACTTGATGCTGACACAATAAATCGGCTATATTTTCAAGAGTTCTTGAGATTTTCACTTGAAATTTTGTAAGGACATTCTTGAATTAGTGTAGATTCGAATTAAATCAAAAAAAATTTTGACCCCGAGAATGGGGGGGTCCCCTTAAGAAATCTACGTTTATTGCTGTGTTAGTCTTTTAAATTTTTCTTTGAAAAATCCACGCTTCTTGCTGTGTTAGTCCCTTAAAATTTTTCTTTAAAAAATCCACGCTTAATGCTGTGTTAGTCCTCTAAAAATATTCTTTAAAAAATCCACGCTTATGGCTGTGTTAGTCCTTTAAATTTTTTCTTTAAAAAATCCACTCTTTGAAAACTCCACGCTTATGGCTGTGATGGTCCTTGCAAAAATATTCCTTAAAAATCCAAGCTTATGGCTGTGATAGTCCTTTCAAAAATATTCTTTAAAAAATCCACGTCTATGGCTGTGTTAGTCCTTGAAAAATACTGGTTAAAAAATCCACGCTTTTTGCTGTGATAATCATTTACATATATTTCAAGGAGAAATATTCTGTAATATCAGATGGCTGTGGTAGTCCTTTAAAAATATTAAAAAAAAACTCGCTTTTGGTTGTGATGGTCCTTCAAAAATATTCTTTAGAAAATCCACGCTTATGGCTGTGATAGTCCTTGCAAAAATATTCTTTAAAAAATCCATGCTTATGTCTGCGACAGTCCTTGCAAAAATATTCCTTAAAAATCCAAGCTTATGGCTGTGATAGTCCTTTCAAAAATATTCTTTAAAAAATCCACGCATATGGCTGTGTTAGTCCTTGAAAAATACTGGTTAAAAAATCCACGCGTATTGCTGTGATAATCCTTTAAATATATTTCAAGTAGAAATATTCTGTAATATCAGATGGCTGTGGTAGTCCTTTAAAAATATTTAAAAAACTCGCTGTTGATTGTGATGGTCCTTCAAAAATATCCTTTAGAAAATCCACGCTTATGGCTGTAATAGTCATTTAAAAATATTTTTAAAAAAACCCACTCTTATGGCTGTGTCCGTACAAAATCCACTCTTATTGTTGTGAAAGTCATTTAAAAATATTCTTTAAAAAAAACACGCTTATGGCTGTGACAGTCCTTCCAAGAATATTCTTCAAAAAATTCACGCTTATCGCTGTGTTAGTCCAAAAATCCATGTTTATGGCTGTGTTACTCCAAAAATCCATGATTATGACTGCGCTAGTCCTTTAAAAATATTCTTTAAAAAATTCGCTTATGTCTGTATTAGTTCTTACAAAAATATTCTTTAAAAAATCCACGCTTAATACTGTGATAGTCCCTGCAAAAATATTCTTTAAAAAATCCACGCTTATGGCTTTGCTAGTCCTTGAAAAAATAATTTTTAAAAATCCAATCTTGTAGCTGTGATTTTCATTTTAAATATATTATTTAAAAATCCTCGCTTACGGTTGTGATTGTCCTTTGAGAAATATTCTTAAAAAATTGTCATTTGATAAATGTTCCTTTGAAGAATAAAATCATCTTTAAAAAATCAATTCTTATGGTTGTGATTATCCTTTTAAAAAGTTATTGAAAAAATCCACACTTATGGATGTGGTAGACCTTAAAAAATATTCTGTTATTTAAAATTCCAGCTTATGGTAGTGATATCCATTCAAAAATATTCTTTCAACAATACAATATTATAGCTTTAAATATTATTCGTCTAAAAATCAACACGTATGCCTGTGATAGTCCTTATATTATTTTAAAAGGTACGCTTAGGGCAGTAATATTTCTTTAGAAATATTCATAGGAAAAATCTTCTGGCTTATTCCTCTGATATTAGTTGATCAAACATTCTTTAAAAAATCATGAAAACAGTTTTTATTTCCACTAAAAATACACTTTTTGTAAAATGAGCAACATTTTCCAAATATAATGACGTCTCAAAAATCAGAAACGCAGCATTATTTTCGACATCATTCAAAACATTTGTTTTATTCAATTAAGAACGCAAATGGTTGGCCTTCCTTTCACTTTTAGGAAATATGTAAAAAATTTAATTTTTGTTTAAAAATAAAACACACGATGTTAGTGTTACATGTTTTATGATACAATTTGTCTCAAAATATAATACAGACATAATTCAAAAATATTTATCCGCCTCAGGAAAATATTTCGATTTATTGTATGTTATTTTAATGATTTTATTGACGTTTGAAATTAGTATCCAATATTTATTATTTTTCCCCTGCTGAACGTTCTCTACTGTGTCTGTAGTGAGTTATTGGCGGGAATAGCCTGCTGAGTATATTGATTTTTTATCTGTTTCAGCTGTTGGTTTTTTAATTGATCATCAATTAATCCAAGTCAATTAGTGGGATGATGAGGCCAAGTAAAAGCAATTAGAAAATTCGAATGGAAGAGGTCATTAAGCTCGTGGAAGAAAGTTGCTGGAAGAAATTATTTGATAATCCAGCCAAGCTAACAACTATAATCTCTGATATCTAAAAGAATAAACAATTGGAAAATATTCATGATCGCCAATCAAAATCTGATTAGTTTGTAATTCATAGAACAAAATATTTTTATTCTAGACAAATTTTAATAAAACAACTGATCATGAACTTAGTCGAAAATTCTTATCTTCATGATCAATTTTCCTAAAAATAAAAATGAAAGCGTCATAATTTGTGCGTCGGACAACAAACAACGACGACATGACATTAACAGAATATTGTCCGCCCACATTGATGGACAAACATATTTTTCCCACGACCATAAAAACGATTTTAATTCTAAGATATTATTGTTGTTGTTCCTCTATTTTTGGAGGCATTTCCTTCTAGACGTATTTTGTTTTTAATTTTAATTTGGAATATTTTTTTTTTTGCAACACGTATATCTTGTGAAAATTTGTTAATGCCAGTTTGGCTTTGCAACTAGTAGACATAGAATCTCAAAAATATATTTTTTTTTTATCTTTTCTTCCCATTGTGCAGCATATCACTTAAATAGGTGATGAAAATACGTAATTCTAACGAAAACAGCACCTATCTTAAACCGATCACAATTGACAGCATTCGAAAAGTAACATTTCATATCAACAACAATTCTGAAGTCGACCCAGTTTTCTGTCATATACATATTCATGTTTTTTCCATATCGCATCATGACGGTGATGATGGTCATGGATATGTGTTTTTTTGTACTTTTTCGCTGATGGGTGGCCGACTGAGACATGTCTTCAGTTGAATGCCAAAAAAAAATATTGGGGTATTTTCGTTAGGATTTTGAAATTGAAAAATGTCATGTACTCATACGTACATGACATGATGTATGTACAAAAATATATATATTTTCTTTGCAATTTTCCAAAATTAAGAAAAAATGATGCTTAGTAAACCGAAAAAAAATATTTCTTCGTGATGATCCAATTTGAAATATTTAGACAAATGATTCAGTGACGGCATAATTCTTAAGAAAAGAAAACATATTATGTTGATGGTCAAGTTCCAGGATTTTATGAATCATTCGGTCAAAGAACTTAGTGACGTCTGCTATATATTTCATTGAATTCTAGTCCACAAACTACCAATTCTCACAACGAACTAGACTAATTTTTATGTGTTTTCCTATTAACTTGATATTTTATTATCAAACATTTCGGCACACCTAATCCAATGTGACATCGGTATTAACATTAAAATATATATAAACATGTGTTGATTTTAATTCGTAGCCACGTGCTGACAGATGTGTAATAAAATTACCAAAATAAAATATTGAGGTAAAAGTTCAAAAAATTAAATTTTGTGATTAGTTGGTCACAATAAAAAATATTCAGAATTAAATACAACGATTGGACATTTAAGGAATATTTTTCAAGGACTATCACAGCCATAAGCGTGGACTTTTAAGGAATATTTTTCAAAGACTATCACAACCATAAACGTGGATTTTTAAAGAATATTTTTGCAAGGTCTATCACAGCCATAAGCGTGAATTTTTAAAGAATATTTTTTCAAGGACTATCACAGCCATAAGCGTGGACTTTTAAGGAATATTTTTTCAAGGACTATCACAGCCATAGGTGTGGATTTTTTAAAGAATATTTTTCAAAGGACTATCACAGCTATAGGCGTGGATTTTTTAAAGAATATTTTTCAAAGGACTATCACAGCTATAGGCGTGGATTTTTTAAAGTATATTTTTCAAAGGACTATCACAGCTATAGGCGTGGATTTTTTTAAGAAATATTTTTCAAAGGTATATCACAGCTATAAGCGTGGACTTTTAAGGAATATTTTTTCAAGGACTATCACAGCCATAGGTGTGGATTTTTTAAAGAATATTTTTCAAAGGACTATCACAGCTATAGGCGTGGATTATTTTAAAGAATATTTTTCAAAGGACTATCACAGCTATAGACGTGGATTTTTTAAAGTATATTTTTCAAAGGACTATCACAGCTATAGGCGTGGATTTTTTTAAGGAATATTTTTCAAAGGTATATCACAGCTATAGGCGTGGATTTTTTAAGGAATATTTTTCAAAGGTATATCACAGCTATAGGCGTGGATTTTTTAAGGAATATTTTTGAAGGACTATCACAGCTATAGGCGTGGATTTTTTTAAGGAATATTTCTCAAAGGTATATCACAGCTATAGGCGTGGATTTTTTAAGGAATATTTTTCAAAGGTATATCACAGCTATAGGCGTGGATTTTTTAAGGAATATTTTTGAAGGACAATTACAGCTATTAGCGTGGTTTTATAAAGGACCACCTCAGCTAAAATCGTGGATTTTTACAGAATATTTTTGAAAAGACTATCCTAGTTATAAATATGTTTTCTTTAAAGAATATAAATAATAAAGGATTTATCACATGCTGCTTCAAATATCCCGAATGGGAATTTTGAATAACCCTACATTTTTCCTAACCTTCAATTTATAATTATTTAATTATTTACTTTTAGTCCTTCTCTATCAACCGGCAAATGGCAATCGACCTCAAGGATATTTTCGTAATATTTGCTCATATCGTAGTACACCGTTGGTAAGCAATTTTTTAAAGAAAAAAAATAGTTCCCCAAAAAATTAATCTTATCCTCGTTACAGCCAGTCAGTGAGCCAAAACGTCACCTGAATGCCATACGTGAACAAATGCAAATTAGAGCAACACTACAGGGACCTGAAATAGATGCGTACATATTACCCTCCTATGATGAACATCTCAATGAAGAGACCAGTGCCAGAGATCAACGTCTCAAGTATTTGACAGGATTCAGTGGAACGGATGCCTTTGCTGTGGTCACCTTAAGAGGTGCTGCCTTGTGGGTCCAGAATCGTTATGTACAACAAGCCGATGGTGAATTGGATTGTGATTGGGAAATTTATCGCATGAATGATACTGTGACCATAATAGATTGGTTAGGGGTAAGTTTTGAAAAAATAATAATTAAATACATTTAAATTTATTTTAAACATGTTTTCATTTTTTGCAGTATCATTTACGACCTGGTCAACGTGTTGGAGCCGATCCCCACCTGGTGCCACATCATTTGTGGCGTAAATGGGAAAGTGAATTGGAAGATCGTATGTTGAAGTTGAGAAATGTCAACAATAATCTAATCGATTTGGTGTGGAAAGATCGTCCCGAACCGGATCTAATTAAAATTCAAATATTACCAAAATCATATGCCGGCGAAAAATGGGAAGATAAAATCAAAGAGCTGCGTGAAAGATTACATCATTTTAAATGTGATGCAATGATTGTTACGTCTCTGACAGAGATTGCGTATTTGTTGAATATTCGTGGCCGGGATTTGCCATTTACACCGGTTATTAAGGTAGGTGTTCCGATAAATTGTACACCGAAATATGGGGGAGGATGACAATTCCATTTGGGATAATAAAATATCAAAACATAAGAAAGAAAAGGATTCGAATTAAAAGATTCGAAACGTTACACTGAACGGAATCTCCTGATTATGAACTTAATTAGGTTGCAAAGTGATATTTAAAAATTTCGAAATAAATATTTCTTTAATTTCCAGGCCTACTTGATTGTTAGTCACCATGACATTTTCCTATATGTCGATCGTTTTAAGATGACCCTGGAAGTATCGGCGCATTTGCACACCGATTGTTATAATTCGTTGTGTGTTAAGTATGTTCAATTTACATAATTTTATTTTATTTTTAATTATTTTGATTTCTATTTCTCAGATCCAAAGATTACCAACAAGTCTGGAATGATATACGCACTTATTCTCAAATTTGGCGTAAGGTCTTGGTGCCAGCTCCATGTGTCCAAGAATTGGGCGCTTCGGAAATGGTCTATTCTTCATTTCCTGAGAAAATAATTTTCGAACATATGTCACCGATTATTATGATGAGAGCCCAAAAGAATTCCGTCGAGCAGGAGGGTATGCGTATGGCTCACATCAGAGATGGTGCGGCGATTTGTGAAGCTATGAGTAATTTGGAGACAAGGGTAAGTATTTTAAATAATTGAAATGGTATTCTACAAAACTAAACAGTCCCACTGGCCGACATGTGAGAAATAGGACCATATATAATGTCCCATTAGAAATCCGAATGGAGGCGTGGATTTTTAAAAATATTTTTTTTTCACGGACCAATGGAAGCGTGGATTTTTATACCCTTCACCACACTGTGGTACAGGGTATTATGTCTTTGTACATATGTTTGTAACAGACAAAAGGAATCAAGATAGACACAAGGTTTCTTTTGAGAATATGCATAGAATCACTTTCTGAGTCGATTTACGCATCTGTCCGTCCGTCCATGTATTTTTATGAAAAATGTACAGGTCTCATTTATGATCCGATTTGGATGAAATTTGGCGCAGGTCACTTATTTGGCCCAAGGACGAACCATATTGAAATTGTAGAAAATCGGTTCAGATTTAGATATAGCTCTCCTATATATTTTGGTCCGATTTAAGTCCCTACATATCTTTCGATTTGTACGAAATTTAGCATAGGGTACTAAATTGAGGATAGAATGGTGTGTGTTAAGTTTCGAGAAAATCGGCTCAGATTTAGATATAGCTCCCATATATATTTTCGTCCGATTTTAGGTGAATGGGGCACCGTGTGCATGGTGTATTCAATTGAGTTTAGAATGACGTGTGCCAAATTTCGAGAAAATCGGGACAGATTTGTATATAGCTCTCATATATATTTTCGTCCGGTTTAAAAGAAAATGGGTCTCTAAAGTCCCTATATATCTTTCGATTTGCACGAAATTTGGCATAGGGTCCAGAATGATCAAGTTCCTTGACTGTATTTCCTTCTTTTTGAACACATATACTTATTTTAAAATATTTATTTCTTTCTTTCAGTTCTACACCGAACAATGGACCGAGGAGAAAATCAAATACGAAGTAGAGCGATCCCGTCTATCACAACAACATGCCAAGGGGCTATCACTGAGAACAGTGGTGGCTTACGGTGAACACTCGTCGTATCCATTTTATATTTCCAGTAATGTCACGGATATTGAAGTAACCGACCAAAGTCTATTGGTCATTGAATCGGGTAGTCAATATTATGATGGTACCACTGATGTTTCGCGAACATTTATTTTTGGCGAACCGACAAATGATATGAAACAAACGTATACCATGGTATTGGCTGGTATTTTAAGGCTATCACATTTGAAATTTCCTTCCGATTTGAAGGTATCGAAATTAGATGCTTTGGTGCGTAGTCCATTGTGGACGACCATGAGCGATTATCCCGGAGCTACGGGACATGGTATTGGGGTCTACGGAGCGGTGAGAGAACGTGAGTATGGAGGGTTCTTCAAAAACAATAATTTTTAATAATTTAATTATTTGATTTTAGCACCAATTTCGGTGGATTATGGTCATGATAGTCATTTTCATTTTAAGGAAGGTTATTTCTTCTCCAGTGGTAAGTAATATTTGCGGAACTGTATAGTTGTTTTCAGAAATTATGTTGTTGTGTAATTTGTTGCAGAATCCGGCCACTATAAAAATGGTGAATATGGTGTACGTTTGAAGAACGTATTGGAGGTTAAAAATACCCACAATGTCCACCCATCGGGCGCCAAATATTTAGCATTCCAAGATGTAACATTAGTGCCTTATGAACCGCGATTAATTGATGGTACTCTACTGAGTTCATTGGAGGTAAAATAAGAAACCTTTTTCATTTTTATTTTAGCTAATTTGTTTTTATTTCCAGAAACGCTGGCTCAACGAATATAATGCCAAAATTCGCCAATATGTTGGCGAAGAACTGAAACGTCAGGGCAATATGAAAGCCTTCTATTGGATGATGAATAAAACCCGCCATATACGTGAATATCTACCCGAAGAAGAGTATCGAGCTGCCACAGGGGCTGGATCACGCACACGTGCCTTTTTAACAATTACAGTGCCGGCCATATTATTAGGACTGACGGTATTTGGTAGCTTTTTACGTTGGTTATTATAAGTAAAGAGAAATTAATAGAAATTATTTTTAATTTTTTATTAAATTTATAATTTTCTTTAACAAAAAACAAATATCACTCAAAAAGGACCAATACAAAATTCTAAAAGAAAACAAAAACGACAATATTCGTCTGTGAATAAATTTTGCTGTATCATAGGATTTCATTTGAAATAAGTTTAGATTAGCTAGCTGCACATATAATTATATAAAAATTTATTAATTATAATTATTAAAAAAATTGATATGTAAATTTATCATTGTTAAAATAATTAGATTAGATTTAAATATAAAAAATTTAAAGTTCTAAAGGAAATTAATTAATTAACAATAAATATGTATTATTTTTTATAAATAAGGATTTGTTTCATTTGAATGTTAACCACAGCCGTGGATTTTTAAACGAATATTTTTTCAAGGGCCAACACGAATGTTGATTTTTAAAAATATATTTTTTCAAAGACAATCAGATGCGTGGAGTTTTAAAAATATATTTTTTAAGAACCATCTTAAGCGTGATTTTTTTTGGATTTTTAAAAATATATTTTTTCAAGGACCATAACAAGTGTGCACTTTTAAAGTTATATTTTTTCAAGAACCAAGTGAAACCAGTAAGGAAAGTAATAAAGTCGGACGGAGATGAACAGATGAATCTTAACAAATGTCGCATTTTTAAAGGACCAGTAAAAGGAAATTGGATCCATAACCATGTCATTCTGCAACCTATACTAAAGTTTTCATTTGGTCAGATATAGAAGCTATATCTAAATCTGAACCGATTTCATGAAACTTAACACACCTAGAATGATGTGTGTTAAGTTTCGCTAAATTTGGTGCAAACCGAAAGATATTAAGGGACTTCGGTACACAATTTACCTTAAATCGAACGAAAATATATATGGGAGTCAACTCAGAAAATGATTCTGTGCATATTTTCAAAAGGAACCATGTGCCTATTTGCCTAAAGGCATAATACCCTGTACAGCAGTGTGGTGAAGGGTAAAAAAATCGGACGAGAACGAAACTATAGCTATATATAAATTTGAACCGATTTCAACAAAACTCGGATCATAAATGCGACATTGTTAACAAAAATACATGACGGACTCAGAAAGTGATTCTATGCATATTCTCAAAAGGAACCATGGGTCTATCCCGATTCTGTTTGCCTGTTACAAACATATGCACAAAGACATAATACCCTGTACCACAGTGTGGTGAAGGGTATAAAAAGGAGGTTGTATGGGGACTACCCCTTAAAGGCGGCGAATATTATTAATTTTTGGAAGGGAGGTTTGTTGCCATAGACGACTACAAAAAAACAAATTACAAATAAGGATTTGGTTCAAGAACCTATATTTATAATTTATAGTTTAGAGATTTGCTACCTAATAAGAACTCGACGTACTAAATTACAGTCAATTCGGTCGAAAAATACGATCAGAACCCCCAAAATACCAAAAATTTGGGGATACCGATATATGAGGACTACCAGAAAAACTGGACCTATATTTATAAATTTTAGTTGACTAATTTGGTACCCAATAAGACCCCAATTTACAAAATTTCAGAGAATTCAGTTATAAAACGAGCCCTTGAACCCGAAAATTGGGGGTACCCTTATAAGGGGGCTATCCGAAAAAATGGACCTTTATTTATAATTTTTGGTAGGGAGATTTGCTACCCAGTAAGAACTCAAAATACCAAATTTCAGCGAATACGATCGAAAAATGCGATCAAAACCCCCAAAATACCGAAAATTGGAGGTACCCTTAAATGGTGGCTATCCGAAAATGTGGACCTTTATTTATAATTTTTGGTAGGGAGATTTGCTACCCAATAAGAACTTAAAGTACCAAATTTCAGCGAATTCAGTTAAAAAACGCGCTCAAGAACCTCAAAATATCGAAAATTTGGGGTACCCTTATATGGGAGCCATGCCTAAACGTGGACCGATTTTCTCCAATTTCAATAGGGTTCGTCCTTGGGCCAATTAAGTGACTTGTGCCCAATTTCATCACAATCGGATCATAAATGCGGTCTGTACTTTGTTAACAAAAATACATGGACGGACAGACGGACATGCATAAATCGACTCAGAAAGTGATTCTATGCATATTCTCAAAAGGAACCATGGGTCTATCTCGATTATTTTTGCCTGTTACAAATATATGCACAAAAACATAATACCCTGTACCACAGTGTGGTGAAGGGTATAAAAAGCGTTAAGTTCGGCCGGGCCGAATTTATGTACATCAATTTTTAATGGAGTTTTTTTTGAAAATCTGAAACCTTAAAAACATGAACTGATACTGATAACGAATGGTAGAGTATAAAATCTTCAAACTACTGCAATTTGGATTGCAAAGTTATATGAGGTTATGCCTAAAAGGGGAACAATATTGATTACATAGTTTAGGAATTAGGGAATATTTGGGGTCGGCGACGAATATTTGGGGCCCGAGTAACGACTATCCCACATACTATATCCAAATCTGAACAGATTTCAACGAAACTTTACTGAAATTGGGCCCATGTAACTTCAGTACAATGAGCTAAATTTTACGACAATCTGTCTAACTTTGGGTCGTTGGTTCACGAGTTACTTAAAATCGGACGAAATTATATATTGGAGCTTTATTTAAATCAGAACCGATTTCAACAAAACTTGACCATCGGCCTTACCTTGGGTTTTTTGGTGCACCCTTGGCTCAACTTTGGGTCTTTGCTGCACCATTTACTTCTAATCGGATGAAACTATATATGGGAGAATTATTTAATTCTAAACCGATTCCAACACACGTTAGGCTATACTAATTTCAGTACGCTGTGCAAAATTTTGTGGCAAACGGCCTAACTTTAGGTCTTTGGTGCACATTTTACTTAAAATCGGAGGATAATATATATGGGAGCTATATCTAAATCTGATCCGATTTTCACGAAACTTAACACACAACACAGTTGTTCCAAATTTCATGCAAATCGGACGAAAATATATATGGGAGCTATATATAAATCTGAACCGATTTTTCTCAATTTCAATGGTGTTCGTCCTTGGGCCAAATAAATGAGCTTTGCCAATGTTCATCCAATTCGGATTATAAATGCGACCTGTACTTTGTTTGCTATTTAACACCAACAGACCCAACACCAAATCGACTCAGAAAATGATTCTATGCATATTCTCAAAAGGAACTATGGGTCTATCTCGTATCCTTTTGCCTGTTACAAACATATGCACAAAGACATAATACCCTGTACCACAGTGTGGTGAAGGGTAATAAAAATGAACAACCATTTATTAACATAATATTTTTTCAAGGACCATTATAAGCGTAGATTTTTAAAATAAAATTTTTTCAAGGATCATCACAGCCATAAGCGTGGATTTTTAAAAGAATATTTTAAGGACCATCACAGTCATAGGCGTAGATTTTAAGGGAATATTTTCCAATTCTGGCGCCACAGAAATATTAGGTTGTGGAAAAAGAAGTTCTTTGTGAAAATGTCGATAAAATCGAAGAAATGATCGAAGTTGACCTGCATGTTAGCAGTCGTAACATCGCCCAGGAGCTAAAAATCGATCACTAAACTGTTTTAAACCTTATACAAAAATCTGGATTCAAAAACAAGCTCGTTGGGTGCCACACCAATTAACAGAAAAAAATGGATAGATCGTATTTCCATCTAAGAGGCCTTGGCCAAACGGGATGAAATAGACCCATTTCTTAAACGGATGGTGACTTGAGATGAGAAACGGATCACATACGATAATCCTGTGCGAAAACGATCGTGGTCAAATTTATTATGAGTTGCTTCCATATGGTCAAACGCTAAATTCTGATCCCTACTGTCAAAAACAGGACCGTTTGAAGATAGCAATTGACCAGAATTGGCCAACAGGAGATGTGTCGTGTTCCACCAGGACAACGCTAGGCCACAAACATCTACAGTGACTCGCCAGAAACTTTGGGAGCTTGGGTGGGAAGGCTTAATGCATACGGCATACAGTCCGGACTTGGCACCAAGCGTTTATCAACTTTTTCTTGCATTGCAAAATTTCTTTAATGATAAAAAATTGGTATCTAGAATTGCGAAAATCGACTACTAGAGTATTTTGCAAATAGAGAGCAGGACTTTTATGAGAGAGGCATTATGAAGTTACCTTTAAAATGGTAACAAATCATACAACAAAACGGTGCATAATTGGCCCAAATCGGATATTCCGAAGCATGTTAAATAAAGTCCTATAGTTCATATAAAATTAATGGATTCCTTTTTCCCCAACCTAATATATATAATATCCCACGTATAATTATATGTAAGTTTGCGAACGATGTGAATAAGTCCCTTGGATAATTAATGAGTTTACTTGTAATACCTTATGATTGATGATTGGCCAATCATATTAAAATAACAACAACGAAATCTATATTAAAAAATAGAATTTCCAATGGGGAATTAAATTGGATACTTCGAAGTGTAACTCTTTAATGCACCTGATTTCTCGAGATTGCCATCAAAAGTGGAAATATATATAAAATGCAAACACTTTTACATTTCAGTTTTAGCTTTTGACAAATACATTTCGAAAAATGTTCTTCGTCAAACAGTTAACAATTAATGTACTACTCGGTCTCTTGACCATTGTTATAAATGCCACTCCTTTGAAACCGATCGTGGTACCTATACCTAAACAATTAAATGCCACCACCGTGAATTCAGACGAGATTCCAGTTTATAAGGAATTGAGATCCGTTCAAAGAACACGATCTGGAGACACTTTGTATGCTTATGTGTGCACTGCGGGACAAATGAAAACTGGTAAGGATTTAATAGGAGAATATGTTTTTTGAAGTTGTAGTAATGTAGACTAATTTCATTTAAAACATTTAGATACCCTAGCCTGTGTTACCGCCGAATCGTCTAAGTGGTCCATTGCTCATCAAGTGGGTTTGACTTTTTGGTGTGACAAGGTTGACATTGACGAACGTATCGCTTATGTTGAGATTCATTTTGTTGTTTCGACACAAAACGTCGAGTGTGAGGTTACCGGTGGCAGTATTGGCTCCAACTATATTGAAGTGACAATTCTTACTTCTCCGACAACATCATTGCAATATTATACATTATTTTATGTTCATTAAATAAATATAAAAGTGTGTCTTAAAAATATCTGAAGAATTATAGGTAAGTTTTTTAAGGATAAAAAAATTCTATTGGCAGACAATTTCTAAATTAATTTCTAATTAAATCGGACGAAATATATATAGGGCAATATCTAAATGTAAACCGATTTTCAAGAAACTTAGCATCATTTCTATTTCCACGAAACATAGCACACATCATTCTAGACTCAATTCAGTACGCTATGCCAAATTTCGTGCAAATCGAAGAATATATAGGGTCTTTGCTGCACCATTTACATTAAATCGGGCGAAAAAATATATGGGAGCTACATCTAAATCTGAACCGATTTTCACGAAACTTAACACACATTATTCTACTCTTAATTCAGTACGCTGTGCAAAATTTCGTGTAAATCGAAAGATATATAGGGTCTTTGGTGCACCATTTACATTAAATCGGACGAAAATGTATATGGGAGCTATATCTAAATCTAAACCGATTTTCAGGAAACTTTACACACATCATTCTAGACTTTATTCAGTACGCTATGCTAAATTTCGTGCCAATCGAAAGATAGGCTCTTTGGTGCACCATTTACATTAAATCGGACGAAATGGGAGCTATATCTAAATCTGAACCGATTTTTACGAAACTTAGCATACATCATTCTAGACTTAATTCAGTACGCTATGCTAAATTTCGTGCAAATAGGGTCTTTGGTGCACCATTTACCCTTAATCGGACGGAAATATATATGGGAGCGATATCTACATCTAAACCGATTTTTCCCAATTTCAATAAATGAGATGTGCCAAATTTCATCCAAATCGGATAATATATGCGACCTGTACTTTGTTCACAAAAATACATGGACGGACAGGCGTGCACAAATCGAAAGTGATTCTATGCATATTCTCAAAAGGAACCATGGGTCTATTTCGATTCCTTTTGCCTGTTACAAACATATACACAAAGGCATAATACCCTGTACCACAGTGTGGTGAAGGGTATAATAATATAATATAATAATATAATCTTCATCATATGGTTTGCGGATCAGAACGGTTATTCAATTCACTTCAAACTAAAATTACATAAAATTGCCTCCGTTACCACCCTTTGCGTTGTACAGGACAGACGGATCCCATCTTCGGAATTGATCTAGGATTAGTAAAGATAATAGCTTGTGCAAAGTTGGTTCAAATAGCACACTCCATTCGCCTACTAATTGATTTGTATACCCTTCACCACACTGTGGTACAGGGTATTATGTCTTTGTGCATATGTTTGTAACAGGCAAAAATAATCGAGATAGACCCATGGTTCCTTTTGCATGTCCGTCTGTCCGTCCGTCCGTCCGTCCGTCCATGTATTTTTGTTAACAAAGTACATGTCGCATTTATGATCCGATTTGGATGAAATTTGGCACAGGTCACTTAATTGGCCCAAGGACGAACCCTATTGAAATTGGAGAAAATCGGTCCACGTTTAGGTATAGGTCCCATATAAGGGTACCCCAAATTTTTCGGTATTTTGAGGTTCTTGAGCGCGTTTTTTAACTGAATTCGCTGAAATTTGGTACTTTGAGTTCTTATTGGGTAGCAAATCTCCCTACCAAAAATTATAAATAACGGTCCATTTTTTCGCATAGCCCCCATATAAGGGTACCCCCAAATTTTCGGTATTTTGAGGTTCTTGAGCTCGTTTTTTAACTGAATTCGCTGAAATTTTGTACATTGAGTTCTTATTGGGTAGCAAATCTCCCTACCAAAAATTATAAATAAAGGTCCATTTTTTCGGATAGCCCCCATATAAGATTACCTCCAATTTTCGGTATTTTGGGGGTTTTGATCGCATTTTTAGACCGAATTCACTGAAATTTGGTACTTTGTGTTCTTATTGGGTAGCAAATCTCCCTACCAAACATTATAAATAAAGGTCCATTTTTTCGGAAAGCCCCCATATAAGGGCACCCCCAATTTTCGGTATTTTCGGGTTTTTGGGCTCGTTTTATAACTGAATTCTCTGAAATTTTGTACATTGGGTTCTTATTGGGTACCAAATTACTCCACTAAAAATTATAAATATAGGTCCAGTTTTTCTGGTAGCACCCATATAACGGTACCCCAAAATTTTTCGTATTTTGGGGGTTCTGATCGGATTTTTCGACCAAATTGACTGTAATTTAGTACGTCGAATAAATTATAAATATTGGTCAATTTTTTCTGGTAGCCCCCAGGTTTTGAGGTTCTTGAACCAAATTCTTTTTTCTGGTACAGGGTATTATGTTTTTGTGCATATGTTTGTAACATGCAAAAATAATCGAGATAGACCCATGGCTCCTTTTGAGAATATGCATAGAATCACTTTTTGAGTCGATTTAAGCACGAAATTTGGCACAGCGTAGCAAATTAGGTCTAGAATGATGTGTGTAAAGTTGCCTGAAAATCGGTTCAGATTTATATTTAGCTCCCACATATACTTTCGTCAGATTTAATGTAAATGGTGCACCAAAGTCCCTATATATCTTTCGATTTGCACGAAATTTGGCACAGCGTAACAAATTAGGTCTAGAATGATGTGTGTTAAGTTTCCTGAAATCGGTTCAGATTTAGATATAGCTTCTATATCTGACCAAATGAACAATTTAGTATCGGTTGCAGAATGACGTGTTTATGGTTCCAATTTCATTTTACTGGTCCTTTAAAAATGCGACTTCTGTTAGGATTCATCTGTTGAATATACTCAAAGTGGTGAAGGGTATCATATAGTCGGCCCCGTCCGACTTTACTACTTTCCTTACTGGTTAAATATGGAAAAATTTAAGCATTTGTGGGTGGGGTACCAGAAGAGAGAAATAATGGGTCCCGTCTTCGGACTTGATCTAGGTTTGGTAAAGAGAATAGGTTGAGCAGGGTTTGGTTCAAATCAAACATTCCATTCGCCTGAAATTGGATTTATAAATATTGAAAATTTTGACCCATTGTGGGGGAGGTACCAGAAGGAGTGGACTACAAGGGTTCCTACTTTTCCTACTTGATCTATGGCTTGCTAAAGATAATAAATAATAAATCGACTCGAAATGTTCTGAAACAGATTTGGTCCAAAGAAATATGGGATATAAAACCAATATTTCGATGAGGCACATTTTCATCGTCTCAAAGTGTATACCTCATATCCTCATTAGCTCACTGTGTATACATCATATCCTCATTAGCCATGAGGCTGGTGGTATAAGAATGATTTAACAACTTAGTTTGACAGATGTTGGACATAATTTTCAAAGGACGAAATGAATAACCTAGTCTATTGTTTCCTTGGAAGTAATTCTCCTCAGATAAAATACTCTTACGCCAACGTTTTTTTATTCAATCTTTTTGGTATAGCCTGTATATCCTCAATCGTAGTAAAACGAATTTCGGTAGTATTCGCAACATAATTTTTTTCCCTCCTTCATATTGAGCAAAACCTTCACATTTGACCGGTCTTGGCGGTCAAGAAGTATTTAATCAGTGAAGAACATAATTCTGATTACTCGTCGAATTACTATTCGGAGAGATTACTGACACAGAGCTTACTGGCACATTGTTCGGTTTATGGTATGAAGATTTTTTAAAAATGTTTTAATATTGAACGAATCATGGTTTGAAGGCTATATCGCTCAATATTAAAACATTTTTAAAAAATCTTCATACCATAAACCGAATAATGTGCCAGTAAGCTCTGTGTCAGTAATCTCTCCGAATAGTAATTCGACGAGTAATCAGAATTATGTTCTTCACTGATTAAATGCTTCTTGACGAACCCGGCCGACTAGGATAAGTATCGCCTTTGACATCTTCTCGGCATTTCTTAAACCGGTTATACCACACTTGAAATTGTGTTCTGCGTAATTAATTTAATTTTTTACGACGATGTTTCGTTGGGGCAATATTATATTATAAGGGGCAAAAGTTTTATATATTCTGCCAAAGACATCCAAATAATTAATTATTATATACCCATAGTGATGTAGAATTTAGTCCGGCCGTCCATATTTTATTCCCTCCTTCTTCATGTCCTGCTTACAAAACCAAAGAGGCACAATTTTTATCTATTATTATAGGGTCTTAACCTTCAAAACAATTACATAGATTTTAATTGCATTGTTGATATATTATTCTATTTCCCTTTGTGAAAACGGGAATAAGAATTTCTGTAAACTCCCTTGCTTTTAAAAAAATGTTGTTCAATATATATTTTTCATGCAGTAGAGTTTTTATCACACCGTACTGAGAATTTTCTTTCGAACAAAGCCTCCGACTAGATTTGTTTACGATAGTAGACATATAACTGTGCAGTACACTTTTAGATCGACATTAAAAAGTCAGGCCCCTTCGATTAATCACTTTGTTTACTCAGAACACCTTACGTTTGATTGGTCAATGCAATCACATTAAAATAAACAACGACAACAATAACAACAACTCTGATAAGAATACAATTTTCAAAGAATTTCCCAATACTGGAGATTAAATTAAATTTCTTCGAAGTATATCATCCAAAGACACCTGCTTTTCTGAGATTACTTGCAAAAGTGAAACATATATAAATTGCAGACATTTCCACATTTTATTCATACAGTTTTAACTTTTGTGTTTGAAAAATACATTCCAAAAAATCAAAATGTTCTTCGCTAAACACCTAACAATTGTTGCAATTTTCGTCTGCCTGGCCGTTGCAACTCCTTTAAATCAAAGTGAGGAATCTGTGCAAAAGGATTTGAAGGTCACCCCGGCAAATTCGTTGGAGATTCCAGTTCTGAAGGAATTGAAATCGGTTCAAACAACAAAATCTGGCGACACTTTATATAGCTATGTTTGCAATGTGGGCCAAAATCTATCTAGTAAGAATCCCTTTTAGAAAAAAGACTTTAATTTTTATTTAATCATTTAACAATCATCGTTAATTTAGGCAAACTTGGATGTATTGGCTCCGATTCATATGCCTGGGCCAGTCCCCAAAATGTGGATTTGAACGTTTGGTGTGACAAGAGTAACGTTGGCGCACGCATCAGCAATGCCGAGGTGCATTTTGTTGTTTCGACACAAAACGTTGCCTGTGTCGTTTCCGGTGGCGGTCTTGGCTCCAGTTTCCTTGAAGTGAAAGTTAGTGCCTATGGAACAACTTCGCTGCAATACAAGTCCTATTTTTATGTCTATTAAATGTATATAAAGGACTACATTTAAAAATAAAAAAATATAGCCAGGTTTTTTATGATGTTAATTTTAATTTAATTTAAAAAAAAAGATTGAAATAAATTTGCATACATAAAAGCTGAACGTTGTATTCTGCGGTTATAGAACATTGAATAAAAACTTCAGTCTCCATTATAAGTTTAAAGAATTGTTTTGGATCGGCAAGTGAACAAAACCGATTGATTTTTTTTTTTCAAATTCGTCCAATACAAATCAAGCTTGAAATTAAATTGTGTAGTTAGGGTTCGGATTAGGGCCAAGAATATCGTATTAGCAACAAATTCAATTTATAGATTAATGGCATACCATTGATTATTTTGATTTTAATGAAATATGATTTCAATGATCAGGTATATACATGGATACAGGTATTTTTAAGATTCTAACCGAATTTACTTTAATTTGGCAATTCGGGACCCCACTGGGTATTAAATGAAGCTTTTCTGCAGAACACTAAATTAAAAGATTCAAATTTTTTTATTTTACACACAATTATACTGGCGTATTTTACCCCCTTAAATGTTGACCGATCATTGTCAAAACAGCCATGTACAATAGTATACCAGATCCCCTTCCTAGCGTGTCCTCTAGACAGATTAGAAAACCTCACAAAAATATTTTTCGGACCATTTTATCCTCTATATATCATCTGATCAATACCGAAAACAATATGTGTCGTCCTTAACCCCAACCGGAACTTCATGAAAAATTCCTTAGCGATCAGCGTTTTTCTCCGCCCTCCAGTGTGGTAATGGGTTACAAAATAATATCATAATACGTAGACACCAGTAAATACTTAAGTATAACCCCGATATCCGATTAAATACATCAATACAACTAATATAAATTTAAAAGTCAACCACTTCTCTTGTATCTCTCTTGTTGAAAATTTTTCACACAAAAATCTGGGTCTATTTGAACCGCTAAATATTGATCGATTATAATCAAAATAGGCATGTTTATCCCTTAGTGTAAAATTTCGTCCTTTTTCAATGTGTGCGGATCATTATTGTAGCCTCTAGAGCGACCAGACAAACTTCTAGCAGCAATTTGACTAATTTCCATACCGAATTTTCACAATTGGATATGTCGCGTTTTCACTAAGAATCAGCATTAAACTCGATTAGTCCAGCTAAGTGGTCTGCTGTAGCCAGTGCTATATGATGGGGCAGCCATCTAACGATGCTTAGAAACAACGCCTCTTTAAATTTTGGGGAGTGGTTGGGGTCCATACCTATTTAGTGTTGCCATTTTCCTGTGGGTGGCGCCATCTCCTGCCGTTCCCATATGTGTTGATGTTAATGTCGTGGTTGGTTACCAGTATGTCAGAGGGCTTCGGATGCATGCCATCTTGAATTAGGTTTAATCTTATTTTTATACCCTCAACCTGATGGCTAATGAGGGTATATACACTTTGATACTGTGAAAATGTGCCTCATCGAAATACTGGTTTTAGACCCCATATTTCTTTGGACCTAATCCGTTTCAGAAAATTTGGAGTCGATTTAGCCATGTCCGTCTGTCTGGCTGGCTGGTGCGCACGATAACTCTCGAAGGGAATAATCGATTTCATCCAAACTTTGCACTTTTTAATATTTCTTCCAAACTTAGTTTAATTTCGAAAATGGAGAATATCGGTCCACTCCTTCTGGTACCTCCTCCACAAAATGGTCAAAATTGTGCTAAAAATTTATTTTATAATAACATGCAAACGGACTATCCGATTTTAACTAAACTTTGTACATCCTATTACCTTTACCAAGCCTAGACCAGGTAGGAAGATGGGATTCATTGTTCCACTCCTTCTGGTACCTCCCACATAAATTTTCAATATTTATAAATTCAATATGGAATGGAATGCCCGATTTGAACCAAAATAAATGCGTTCACAACCAAATAGGTTGTGAACGCATTTCTTACTATTTAAGATATTCACAAAACACTTTTCTTTTATAGATTATGGAGTCCATAATTTTTGTTATAATGAAATACTTAAAATTAAATTATTGTTATCGCCAATCAAAATTATTTTTCTTTGGAAATTGCATTTTTATCTTTCGCCGATAGAGTATTTCAAAGAAGCGGGTGGTTTTTGTTGTTCGACAAAAAATTGTGGTTGTTGGTAACAGATTTTTAATAACCCTAGCGACGACAAGAACCACTTGGTTTTGAAGAGTTAATTCAAATATCATAAAATAATTTCAAGCTGAAACAATTAAAAAGTTCGGAAAGTTCGGCGGAGGTTATAATATGGTCGGCCCATATTATAACCTCCAAGGTGTATGTTTAAAATGCCTGCAATGAAATTTGAAAACCATTTGGTTAATAAAACTGGCCCATAATCCCCAAAATACGGAAGAATGTTAAATAGTAAAAAAAGTACAGGTCGCATTTATAGTCCGATTTGGGTGAAATTTGACAAAAGTAACTTATTTGGCCCAAGGACGAAACCTATTGAAATTCAAGAAAATCGGTTCAGATTTAGATATAGCTCTCATATATATTTTCGCCCGATTTTAGGTAAATGGTCTACCAAAGTCCGTATATATCTTTCGATTTGCACGAAATTTGGTATAACCTACTGAATTAGGTCTTAAATGATGTGTGCTGTGTTTCGTGAAAATCGGTTCAGATTTAGATATAGCTCTCATAAATATTTTCGTCCGATTTTTAATATTGATGTTAGTCGGTTCACATATAGATAAAGATCACATATTTAAGTTTGTCAAATTTCATGTCAACGTTCACTCAAAAAGGCGACGTGTGCTAGCCTGTTGAATATACCCAAAGTGGTGAAGGTTATTATATAATCGGTCCCGTACGACGTTACTACTTTCCTTATTGTTTTTGTATTGTATTAGACTCCTCTTGGATATATTATCAACTTCTCAGGTCAATGTCCTTCAGAGGTAAATATATACGCTTTAGAATACAAATTTTAGAATACAAACCAGCTAAATATTGAGCGATGTTTATCAAAACAGGCATGCATATTCTTTGGCCCGATCCCCTTCTCCATGCAAAAATTCGCAATGTTTGGGCTATAGTTGCGGCCTATGGAGCGAAAAAAGAAAAAAAATAAATATTTGGTCCCCAAAAGATTAACCGATCTTTACCAAAAACAATAGGGATCTTCATTGGGCAGAACCCATCTTATGTGCAATGCTAGGACCAATATTTTTGTTGTAGAAAATAAAGAACCAAATAACTTCTTTATATTTGAAAAATCTAAGTGTTTGAATCTTGCGCAAAAAAAAATGTTCAAATCACACATTTACAATCAGAGCTTAACAAAATGTTTATCATTGCAATTATGTATTCAATACATTTTTCACGTTTGTTTTCACTTATTAGGAAATCATATATCAAGGCTAGAAGGGGTGGTCCATATTAGACGCATGGTTCACATTACCCGAAGTTACTTTAAAAATCCACGTTGTGAAAAAATCATCTCACAAAAATGTTCACGAATTAATTCCTTTTTAAGGTAAAATAATTTTTTAAGTCCTTAATGAGTTAGGTCAGAAATACACAATTGCAATTGTTTCTCAAGAAAAGTATTTTACCTACCATGGAATCAGACCACCAAAAACAAAGTCCTATTTTTCCAAATAATGTTTTATGAACTATCGACCATATGGTCATAGTTTAAAAATTAGTACTAATTATTCTACTACTTCGACTTTGATTTTATAATAATAAATCGCTTTGGCACATTGTGTTTCTTATGAAGAATAAGAAAAAAAAATATTGCAAAAATAGTATTTTCCTTAATAGTCATAAATTTAAATTTACAAAAATACTTTAATTGACAAAAAACTCCGCGGTATAATCCAACACTCTGGTACCATCAGCATTTAAATAAATTTCAATGAATTCCTGGCCAATACCCCCAGCAGTAACCAAACAATTTACAGTCGGATTTGAAACAGTAAAAATGATTTCGACAAATGCCATAGTTGGACCACTTCCAGCATTGGGACATTTAAAGGTCATTTCAACATCGTGGGGCAGAGGCCATGTTGTACGATCTCTACTGGCGCAAGCAATGCGATCTATAAACGAAATAAATTATATTTAATAAAATAATTTTATTCAATATTTAAAGAAACTCACCTGTTTTCCTTAGACCCACCGAACATTTGAACGTATATAAATTGCAACCAAATAGATTTTCTTCAACATATAGTTGTTGTAATTCCATACTTTGTATTGGATCATCTTCAATTATTGTATTGGCATAAAGGCAGCTTACACTGGCCAATATAATTATAAAAAGCGATTTATTTATGATGAACATTTTCGTTAAATATTTTATTATGTATATCGGAAAGATAACTGTGTGATTTGTGACAATCAACTTGGGTATTTATACTTTACAATGGATTACATTGTTCAGTAGGCTTTATCAAATAGATTTAAATCTTGATTTAAGTAATCTGATAATTTTAAATTAATAAGGAAGTGTTTTTTTTTTGGTAATGCAATATGTAATCGATAAGAAACATATGATATGCGTTGTGTAATATATAAGCAATATTATTTTGATTATTTTATTGTGTTAAAAAAGAACAAGTGAATATGATGTTACAATCGTCTGGCCCACCATGATGTGTCTATTTTAAATACCTCAAACTTCTGAGTGGTCGAAGTACAAAATTACATAGGGTGGGACTATATTTCAGGTCCAATATTAAAAATGTTCTGACAAGTGGTATTTTATTGTTCGAAAGAATTTATTTTCCATATTTACAATGGTGAAGGACTATTATATCCAGCCGGAGTCGCTTCGGTTGGGATATGTGTTAAGGACCATTAAAACTCAAAAAATGGGCGAGACCCGTATATGAAGGTTATGTCAAAAACATGGGTCTATAATGACAAATTTATTCATCAACAAGAAACAAAAATGCCAAATTTGAAAAAAGCATATCAGATGGGTCCTTTACGTGGATAGGATAAGCTAG